TATAATTATTATAATTTTTTTTACAATTATTATTAATTTCTTATTAATTTCATTATAATTATTTTAATTTTTCCATTCATTTCCGGGTTTTAAATCTTTGCTACACGAATTTTTGCACGTTTCCAATGCCGCGCAAATATAATTCGATAGCTTGGATGGCCAATTTCCTGACTGGAAACGAGCGCTCCTCGCGAAGAATTCTTTTTGAAAACGAAAGGACGCTGTTTCAGATGGCGCCACGAACGGTGAATTCGAATTATAATTCGAATTCAAAAGTTAGGATCGTGGAAGGAACTTATTTGCACTTCTAATACTTTATCGTGTATTCTATACAGAATATTTTCGGATACTTCTTCACGTCTGGACGAAGAATAAGGCTAATAAAGTGGAGAACTCCACGTTATTTGGGGTTAAACGAGGCTTCATTTTCGAGAGTTAGATTCGCACGCGATATAAGGCGTGCTTCCTCTGACTGAGAAATGCTCCGATATCACCCTCTGCAAAATTTTATAGACGCGTAAAGGATCACTTTATATTCATATATATTCATATTCATACTTGGATGATGAAGTACGTGTTATCATCGAATCGTCACGATTTTTATCGTTATCCATAAACAGAGGCGAATGGTATATCTTCGTGAAAGGAGGAATGAAACAATATCGTCCAATTTCCTTTCAATTTTTAACGTTTCACATTTGTGTGTAAAATCGTACAAATATCCCTTTCCTTGGAAATACAAAATATTTATTTTTTATTTTTCTCTATTTTTCTTTATTATTTCTCGAATAAGAGTACAAAGAGTTTTTCAGATAATCTTGATAAACCTTTGATTGAGAAATTAAAGCGGACTGTTTCGTGATCGATCGATAAGCGAGAAACGTATGAGGTAATTTTAAAACGAGCTTAATCTCCAACTAACTGCGCGGCATCGAATCCGCTATTAGTTGATACATAATCTTATTTGTGCAATCGAATCGCGTCTGGTATTGCATCTGACTGGTGTGCAATGACTGACTTCCTTCTAACGATATAAACGCTTCGATTTATGCCAATGGAAGGGGGGGAGGACGAAACTTGAAACTATTGTATCCGGCTACTCGAACAAATTACACGAAGCGTGCTTCGATAAAAAAAGAAGAAAGAAAATTTATTTCTCTGATTGTGATGCGATCTCGATCCCTTTTTCAAAATTTTTTTTAAACTAACAACTAAACAATTAAAATTTGCAATCTCGATCGAAAAATCTTTGGAACTATCGAATATCGTCGATTTATATCGATTTTATTTTCTTTGTAAGAATTGATCCGCGAGCGATCGATGAACTGGAGCAGATTTCGATCCTTTTTTTAAAATC